TAGTCTCCATCGGCCACCTAAACGACCCTCTTCTGTGCCTAGACGCCCTTATGCTTAAAATTAGTGCTTGCCAGAAATAAAAGATAGTCTGAGTACAGTTGCAGCAGACGGTCACCATTATTTGTTCGTTGAGCTGGAATACCAAAATACCTACCTAAATATCTTTCTGTTTGGTTTAAGCTACCTACTTGGGTATTAAAGTCACTTGCTACGAGTGCTATGTCTGAGCGTTTTGCTTCATCCGGGCTGCAGTCAGTGGGAGCGTAGGCAGAAACGGCGGAAAGGTGACGACGTGTGTCCTTATCCTTCCGAGTTCTTACGGAGCTGTTTAGCCGTACAGCACATAGGCGACTGTTAACGGTAGTCCATTCTAATAGTACTTGTTCTGCCCTCGTACCCAGTGCTATGGCTGCACCAGCCAGTCCACAAGAACTAGCCATCGGGTCGCCAGATAAACGGTGGGCGTGTCACGTCGGCTCCCCGCTTTGGTGAGGTGAGGTCGATTGAATGATCACACTAAGATCCTGTATGTGTGTTTCAGAGACACAGCATAAATCAATGGTACGACATTCTAGGGTTTTAACCAAGGAGACCTGCTGGCCGATTTGTTACATGGTGCATACGTTGAAGGCTCCAATCTGTAGTTTGGAGCGAGGTTTCAGTAGACCTGGGACAGTGTTTCGTGCACTAGAATCGTTGGTCATGGTGCCACCTGGGGAGAAAGCCAAAAGAGGAATTTTAGGGTTGAAATTTGAGGTAGGAGGAATAATAGGCATTGAAGAAAGGGATTGATTATGAATACAGCAATCTTTCGTTGCTAGAGGTATGAGGGTGGTTATCAGTTCCCGGTCGCCCACACCGTGGATGGGTTTTTATGGAGGTACCTGAAAAGGAAATCAGGTTATATGTAGTCTTAGTGATCTGAGAGCGTGACCGCAGTGCCCAAGGGACAACTTCTTGACGTCGATCACACACAGCCTTTTTGTGAGCAATTTTCGTGTTAGCTCTGTACTTGTTGGGACCTTACTGCTGGAGACGGATATCCGTGGAATAAGGCGAGGTGCGCATTTTTTATAGTCAACATTTTACAACCCTGCTCTTCCTTGTGGGAAGGCAGCACCGCTGTCCTGCTGGTTGTCTGAAGGAAGCACCTTACTCCCGTCACACCTCTGTACAATCAGCAGTACGACTTAGCCCTCTGGCTGGTTTTCTGCTTTTAGTCTTACCACTCTTCAAACGACCTGTCTGGCACAGTAGGACCTTGAGGAACGATCGTTCCAGCCAGTATAGCTCGATTGGTTCATCACGATAGGCCAGCCCGACTACCACATCAAGGTAGCAGCAACGGTAGTGTTCACTACATCAGGTCTTAAATCATGTCGCAACATAATCTGAATAATCTTGTTTAATAGTTTGTTCTGTTAGACCAACCAGTTTACGTAGTTTGACCATTTCCTATTGTTATTTTTGGTTAGTTGAAAACGTATTTAGCGAGTTTCATTTTTGATAAATAATTCTTGTTAGGTTCGTTATCCTTGAGTATACTACTGATTCGACTTATTCGCCAATTGTTATGTCTCAAAGTGACAGCCGATTATATGACAGTGACTTATCGATCGGACCAAGGATTCAGAATCTCGATAGTCTATTCTGGTCCATTGTCTCCAACTCTGCTAACTCGATCAAGAAGTCCGGTAAGGTGTAGAAAGTGTATTCTACAGACAAACAGCAGATAACAAGTCAGGCAGGCAGATCGGATCAAGCATACAAGTCAAGCGTATTTATACAATTATTTACAATCGATATTGTCATAGGAAGATTTTTGAACATTAATCAACAATTGACTTCTATTTGAACATTTAATCGATAGTTCATCAATTGACCTATTTGTACATTTAATCGATAGTTCATCAATTGACCTATCTGCACATTTAATCGATAAGTAAATTACAAAATTTGAGTTTTGGGGATCTATCGTCCCCAACACTCCTCCCCTTTTTAGAAGATCCGGAGTTGATATCCGGATTTTAAGTTTCCCAGGTCCATCCTCCCCCACGAAACAGTGTTGGATCCTCATATGCCCACGTTATAATTAACTTGAATTTATTTAAGACATATTTATCGCACTGAACAGAGAATTGACTGAAAGTGACTAAGTCTTGAGGCTGAACAACACTTGATGTGAGGTGTTCGAAGTTTAATTCTTCTGAAATATTGTGACCAAATTTATTTGGAATCTTATTTGTAGATAATCGATCATCAAGGTAATTAGCATCTATCAAAATTGTATTAAGTTTTTGATCATCATTTGATGCATCTGACATATTTTCTGGTAAGAGAGAATCTTGATAATAAGATTTGTCAAAAACATCTGTCGCAGACTGATGAGAACCATTTGAAGCAGTTGTATTCAGTGCACTGCTCGATTTGTTTTCTGTTTCATGGGTGGTTATTGCGACAATTCTATGAGGATTTACCAGGGAGTGTGTTTGTGAGCTGGATAAGTCACCGTCTGCACATGCTGTTTTGGGGATAATGGAGTTTGAGTCTATTACCGGACATGTTTCTGGAATGGAGAGGACTGGACCACTGGGAGAATCTTGAGTGACTGTTGTACCGTTTGAAATACGGTTTATCGGGGATTCATTGGGGCTGCAAACATTTTCCAGCTCTGTGTGCAGTTGAGAGATCAATCCATCCACTTCCGTTGCATCTCCAAAGCATGAGTGATTTAACAGCTGCGTGCGTAATTTGACTAAAAACTCCAACTGTCTTTCAAATAGCAGCTGTACTCGATCGGAAGGGAGAGTCATTTTTTTTTATTCAGCACTGGTAATGAAAATTACTGTTTGATTAATGACCAATGTTGCTGAAGGACACTGATGACAAATCTGGATGCTGAAGGCTGACTTTGGATTGTTCTTTCTTTTACCCCGTCGCCAATTGTTAGGTTCGTTATCCTTGAGGATACTAATGATTCGACTTATTCGCCAATTGTTATGTCTCAAAGTGACAGCCGATTATATGACAGTGACTTATCTATCGGATCAAGGTTTCAGAGACTCGATAGTCTATTCTGGTCCATTGTCCCCAACTCTGCTAACTCGATCAAGAAGTCCGGTAAGATGTAGAAAGTGTATTCTACAGACAAACAGCAGATAACAAGTCAGGCAGGCAGATCGGATCAAGCATACAAGTCAAGCGTATTTATACAATTATTTACAATCGATATTGTCATAGGAAGATTTTTGAACATTAATCAACAATTGACTTCTATTTGAACATTTAATCGATAGTTCATCAATTGACCTATTTGTACATTTAATCGATAGTTCATCAATTGACCTATCTGCACATTTAATCGATAAGTAAATTACAAAATTTGAGTTTTGGGGATCTATCGTCCCCAACACTCCTCCCCTTTTTAGAAGATCCGGAGTTGATATCCGGATTTTAAGTTTCCCAGGTCCATCCTCCCCCACGAAACAGTGTTGGATCCTCATATGCCCACGTTATAATTAACTTGAATTTATTTAAGACATATTTATCGCACTGAACAGAGAATTGACTGAAAGTGACTAAGTCTTGAGGCTGAACAACACTTGATGTGAGGTGTTCGAAGTTTAATTCTTCTGAAATATTGTGACCAAATTTATTTGGAATCTTATTTGTAGATAATCGATCATCAAGGTAATTAGCATCTATCAAAATTGTATTAAGTTTTTGATCATCATTTGATGCATCTGACATATTTTCTGGTAAGAGAGAATCTTGATAATAAGATTTGTCAAAAACATCTGTCGCAGACTGATGAGAACCATTTGAAGCAGTTGTATTCAGTGCACTGCTCGATTTGTTTTCTGTTTCATGGGTGGTTATTGCGACAATTCTATGAGGATTTACCAGGGAGTGTGTTTGTGAGCTGGATAAGTCACCGTCTGCACATGCTGTTTTGGGGATAATGGAGTTTGAGTCTATTACCGGACATGTTTCTGGAATGGAGAGGACTGGACCACTGGGAGAATCTTGAGTGACTGTTGTACCGTTTGAAATACGGTTTATCGGGGATTCATTGGGGCTGCAAACATTTTCCAGCTCTGTGTGCAGTTGAGAGATCAATCCATCCACTTCCGTTGCATCTCCAAAGCATGAGTGATTTAACAGCTGCGTGCGTAATTTGACTAAAAACTCCAACTGTCTTTCAAATAGCAGCTGTACTCGATCGGAAGGGAGAGTCATTTTTTTTTATTCAGCACTGGTAATGAAAATTACTGTTTGATTAATGACCAATGTTGCTGAAGGACACTGATGACAAATCTGGATGCTGAAGGCTGACTTTGGATTGTTCTTTCTTTTACCCCGTCGCCAATTGTTAGGTTCGTTATCCTTGAGGATACTAATGATTCGACTTATTCGCCAATTGTTATGTCTCAAAGTGACAGCCGATTATATGACAGTGACTTATCTATCGGATCAAGGTTTCAGAGACTCGATAGTCTATTCTGGTCCATTGTCCCCAACTCTGCTAACTCGATCAAGAAGTCCGGTAAGATGTAGAAAGTGTATTCTACAGACAAACAGCAGATAACAAGTCAGGCAGGCAGATCGGATCAAGCATACAAGTCAAGCGTATTTATACAATTATTTACAATCGATATTGTCATAGGAAGATTTTTGAACATTAATCAACAATTGACTTCTATTTGAACATTTAATCGATAGTTCATCAATTGACCTATTTGTACATTTAATCGATAGTTCATCAATTGACCTATCTGCACATTTAATCGATAAGTAAATTACAAAATTTGAGTTTTGGGGATCTATCGTCCCCAACAATTCTTTAGTCTTACTAAATGTTGTATCCTCTCAGCCCAATGAGAAATAAAGTACTGGCGGACGGACTCGTATTCTCTATTCACTCGTGTTTTTTTCATCGCAGTTTGTTTTCCGTTTTCGTATCAGTCAAATCGATCACGTCAACTACACATCATATAATTTTTATATATTGTTATAGTCCTCAACTTTTTTGAACATAAACTTTTATTTTAGATTCAAAGTCCTGGAGATATTATCATTATGCATAGGCTTGTGATAAAACAATATAATGGTCGAAACCAAGGCTGCGGTTATGGTGCAACAGGTTTCAGTGCAGCTGTATTTTCAGGTGTTCATTTGGATCCATTGACTCCTTTTAAATCAAACACTCGATGCACTGTGAGTTAATTTTATTTGTAAGTGAACATTATCAATTTGTATACAATAGTTGTTTATTAATGTTACTGACTGATAACTCTTAGTTAAAGGACATAGAAAGTGAATGATATATGATAGATTGAGTCATTGGAAGTTGATATATTACTGATATTCATAAGCAGTCTAAGGTGTGGTTTGCTGGTTACATGTTATGTACAAACAAGTATCTTTTCAAAGAAATTGAGTATACATTTTGTTCTTGAAACAATAGAGATTTGTAGCGTATGTGGGTGATTTTATTGGTCTTATTCTCTTTTCTAAATGATTTATTTAAAAAGCCTCTTATTGTTTCCCTAAACGACACCGTCAGTGCACACTCTGATAGTATCTTCTGGAAAGTCTATATCAATAGTGACGTGTTTATCGTTAACTTTAGTTTAAGAAATAGGTACTTATCATTCAATGGGTTGCAGGGATATATTCTTAAACTGACAATAAATCTTGATTACAAGTTACAGAGATCTTCAATGAAGGCGATAGTTATTGATTTTCATTGAACTTTAGGTTGGACATTGTCAATTATAGGAAAATTTTAAAAATATTCAAAGGATTTCTGTACTGTCCGATATTTTAGTATCTATATCTTTAGAAATAGAAATGTAAAAGAAGGCCGAAATGATTTGTGTGGCACCTATGTATTTGGTTCCCCCTTTATCAATGTGTTTAAATAAATAAATAATACACATGGCCAATATGTATGCTTACATTCCAGTCTAAAATGATTGCATGAATAACGTTTTCTTAAGGTTTTTCGATGTTCTTTTTGTGGTATATCTAGTCTCATAAAGACATTAAACCTCTAATCGGAAATGACATCGCGAAGATCATAAAAAGTGTCTGAAGTTTTAATGACATTCTTCTTTGAACTATTTCTAACTGTCTCTAAAATGGACTGTTCAGGATGAGATAAATGAAAATTTCGCCTCGTTTTTAACAAACATGGAATTCCATGCAAACTAATTCCTATTTATTAAATTTAGCAAGGTAAAAATAAATCCAATAGAATACAGTTAGTTCACCGTATTTTCCTTGTATTTCCTTCAACTAAAAACACTAGTGAAAATAAATATGGGATGGAAATTCTTGGATCAATTTGTTATGTGTTAATAATTAGAAAAAAGTGACCCATTTTGTCGATAGACTTTTTCTTTTCAAATATCTACATTAATTTAATGCAACCGTTTATGTTGTAGCAGTTTCTCTGTTATTATGCGCCTATGTGATTTCTGTCATTTGAATAGACTTTCTTGACTTAGACGACATTTGACCATTAAGTCATTTTTATCATTCTGATGACTGTTCTGTTCATAGGCGATTATGACTTTTTGTGCGTGTATGTCTTTTATATTCGTGTCCATGTAATTCTATACTTTTACGTCTTACATGCTCTTGTGTGTGTTTGTGTCTTATTCAATGTCTATCTTCTGGAACTATTTTAAGTTAATTAACCCTTATAATGATTAGCATTTTGGGTTGACTAGTATGCCAACTTGTTTCAGCATTTGTTTTTCTTTCTTTTACATGATTGTCTGCTTAGTGAGAATGCTTAAATAAACGTATCCTGGTAACACTTCGGACTTTTGACTCATCATTGTACTAACGCGACGTACCAGCGATTAATTACGAAATTAAATATGGAATACATGAATATAAAACCGGAGTTGACAATGGATTGCTAAAATATCTTTCATTTATTTTACCCTATTTATAAATCTATAGAAGTTAACGAATAACAGTGGGAGCTTATATCTAACATTTTATTTTTACTTTTACACCGAATTAGTTAAATATGTAGACTTAGCAGTTAATTTCACGTCGCTCATTCAACTGATTAATAAAAAATGCGTGATTCAAGATAGGCAAAGAAAATATTTTTGAGAAAGACCTTTAGTGAATCGCGTGAATGTGACTCATCACTCCCACTCGTAGTTTATGCTTATCGACTCAATAGTAGTGTCGTAGTGCAGTCTTATTGACTGTCAGTCTTATTAACCTTTCATTCACCATTTTAATGCAATATCCAAATATTAGGTCTAACAGTCAGGTCTTATTCCTAAATATTCAATGGCACCAGTCAGATAATCACCTTTTCAATATTTGTTTAAAGAATTTTATTGAATGTATACTTTCAAAAAAACACTTGAAATATATAATACATGCAGTTATGTCGAGATCTTTCCTTGTGTTTGTTTCAAAAACACTAATGAATAAAGCCTTGAGGCTGTTATGTGTTCAATGTTTTCTCCTTACAGTTGTCCCCACAAATATGTAATTCTGTATAACTTAAACAACAAAATCTGTATCTATTATTATGTGTGGGTCAATAAAAATTTCCTAGTCAATTTCAGAAATCTGAGGCCAACGACAATAAATCAGTTGAAAATTTTTTTAATTTCTTTAAAACCTTAGACGATATAGAATAACAAATACCGAACGAGCTCTTTTTGTTATTGTACAAATATTTCGTCAATAACCAACACTTTAGGGCTGATATAATTTTCTCAAATAAAATATTCAGTTCTTCACAATCAGTTTCTAAAATCTCTAAATAATATTCTTTATGGTACATTAGTTTGGTGATGAAGAGCTGAGAGTGATAGAACGCTTAAGAGAGTGGTATATCTCTCCTAACTGCCCAGTTGAAAGGGAAAATATACAAATTTCATCCGAACAAGGTGGTAATGAAGTATGCCGAACTATTACATCTGGAATAAAAAGACTTGATCTTCTGAATGGAGAAGAATATTGCACAATTGAAGGACAGGTAAGTACTCATTTTGTTATAATTTGTAAATTGATTTGACTGATTAATCACCACAAAAGAAGTTATGAGATCATGTTCTCTAAAAGCCAAAATTAGTGATAAAAGCAAACATGTTTTACGATTAATCAAGTCTGTCGACCCACAAAATAAATGTTTGACTCTTGTTATATGCCAGATGAATTCCCTGACTCCATTCTATCTTATTGATTACAAGTTCTTGTGGTAATCACAACAATTATATAACGTTATTCATAATCCTCTTCTTAAATTCATGCAATCGTTTTAATTTTTCCAAACGGCTATTATCCAGGTTGAAAATACATAATGATATTCACCAGAGAAATCCAGTGTTCCCATTTTTCTATTAACTGATAGAATGAGCTTTTTTTGTCCATTTATAATTTTTTGGCTGAATTAAAATACCTAATCAACCTCATATTGAGGTATGACGAATATCTAAGTACTTCCATCATATCTCTTGTGCTTAGAGTGGCATTATCTTTATAAATTCTTCCCTTCACTACAATTGTATCGTATTGATTTATATATTTCCTTCTCCCACTATTAGGTCGCGAGTTCGAACTACTGTCCTATTACTGAGATACAAGTAGTAGGCACAGTATCATTAGCCTAAAATTAGTGTTTCAGTAAAATGTCTTTGTTTTCGTCTATATCATATGCGATTGGAGTTTATTATACAGTATAATTCTGATACCATAGAATGCTTGTAATGTAAAGTGGATTTGTATATATTCATGTATAATATTATTGCTTATTTGTAACAAACAAATTAACCGGCTTGTCAAAAAATGTTTGTTTTTTCCAGATTATCAGTATTTATAATTCTGTGGAAATTGATAATCGTATTGTTCTATATATATGGGATGGACCACAATCTAATAATAAACAGAATACTGTTTTTATTGGTCTTTCTCAAGACCATTTACTTCAATTACTTCCTTATTCTCAGCATGATCCTCAACTTGCTGCCTTAACAGGACACAATTTACAACAATGGAATGAAAATATAGTGAAGAATTATGAAACATATATCGAAGAAGATTTAGATAAAGTATTGAAGTCAAATTTTTCGTCTAATTCAATGGAAACTTTTCGTGATTGGTCTGTCCCAATTTCCATCTATGATGAATACGCTATTAGTGAACCGATTGTCAACATTAAACCTGGTGATTTGATACGTATTCATAATGTGCATGTTAGTTGTAGTCGAGTAAGTCGTTGTTTATTGAGTTATATTATAAAATCGTCAATTTTGTATACATAGAAATTATACTTTAGGTTAAAGTTGTTAGCCTGTTAATTACTGTTTTCAATAACTTGCGTATAATTGAAAGCCATTTCATACTTTCATCTAAACATCAATTAGAGAGGAATAGGAAAACATATGTACTTTATGCTGTCTAGACTCGTATTACAAAGTATTATGAAAATGTCGGAAGTTATAACTTATCTTATTAACAGTGATAATGTGAGTCAATGGTTATTTTCTGCTTCTCCCCTTTTTTTAAATCATACATAAAGTTAAATAATAGTTCGGTGGGTCAGTTCGAATGCATAATATTCGTGGTCATCGATCCGGTTACTCTCTTGAAAATAGTTTCTTTTTCATTTAATAGCGTATTTGCTTCATTGTTCATTGTAAACGGTTCAGAAGTCAGTTATTCAAAACAACTTAGGACTAGGGACAAATGAGTTTCAGCTCCAGTTGCCAAGCTACATCAACACAATGATATAAAATTAAAAAGATGTATAAAAATAGTTGAAACACCAATATGTTTGTCAAAAGCACTATATATAAGCAATATAGTCTGTAAAGAAGGAATAGGTTCACAAAATTAAAAAAATGTAAAATAATATTCAAGTTTTAGAGAACAGTATCTGTATCTGCGACGCTGTAACTGATTTCGGTCTGTCACCTAACATCTTTGATCGTTAATATCACCATGGATATTTAAGAGATTGGACAGCTAGTCTAGTCCGCATTTAATCGTTGACCTTTGATTCTAATACTGCATCTATTTTTCATATTCCTGTTATAACCTGAACCTTTTTGCTACACAGTTCAAAATATTAATGTGACAGTGAATCCTCTCCATTATTCTTCAACAATATGCTCCCAGTATTCTTAAACCAGGCCCTAACTATTAAGAAAACAAAATCTGACCTGCAAGAAATACATCTTTTTTTACAGAGATTAATAATTTCATTCAGATAATTATAACTTAAAGCGAATTTTATGCTGCGTAAACGTCAAAACTAAGTGTAATAATTATCAGAACTTAACAGAACGTCATGCCAAAATAAATTACCAGTTGGACATAACAAAATTCAGTCAAATGTTAAAGTGGCAAATTATCACATTTAATTAGTTAGTTTTACTATTGGTTAATTCTTATCAACTCCGTTGCTACTCTTATCTTAACTCTTCTGAATATCATCTATTGATATGTCCTGTTCTTGTCATGAGAGAAAGGTAGAAAGCCAGTTTGCATTAGTCAGAACTTGTGAGGTTTTGGCATCACAGCATCAGTCATTTCTTCTAATTTTACCCCCTATCGAATCTTTCAGTAATTAACCTAGCATGACAATATCCACCAATAAGAATTTGAATAATGTAGGCTGAATTTTCTCTCTACTCACAGTCTGCGAGTTGACAAGTTAATATTTCCATTGAATAACATGAATTCCGACGTAGACATTTACAGAGTTGTGGAATGACTTGGGGACTGTTTTCCGAAAATGGTCGCCGGAAGATCATAATAACAAGTAGTTGAGAATCCTTTTATAAATGTGAGGATTTACTGATGAAGAATAGCTTATGAGATTACATTTCTGAATTGTATTGCTGACATTACTGTTGCCACGTTCACTTATTCAACCTTCACAAACATCACTTGATAACAGCTTTCTTATTTAAAGTTTGCCATTGTCGTACAGCAAACTTCACAACGTATAGCGATTCTCATTTACACCAACTCTAATATTTTTTTGTGTTCTGTTTAATTCTAAGAACTAAACGATTAGTTCATACCATCCTGAAGATGAAATCTGAAGAAAAGCAAATTGTGTACTTAGCACTAATAACAATCTACTGGATGCAATCCTAATTCTGATCAAAGCACCGATCAATGTATAGGATCCAGGTGTTTTCCTATCGGCGTTAGTCTTGATCACTCGAACATCCGAAATAGGAATGTAATTAAAACAGAAGTGGAGAGTATTTCCTGATCATTTTACTATTTCTGAAGTTACATATGAGGTGGAAGTTAACCTGGTTTCGATCCGGAGGGCATATCAGACGCTGAGTCTTTCATTTCTATTTTTTTACGCAATATACTTACTTGTCCTAACTATTTGTATTAGATAATTCACAGAGGTACCGTAAGAAGTAGATGGTTTTCTTATTTTTACTAAAATTTTAAAAACTCCCATATTGTGAATTACAGCAACATATATAAGGGAAAAATAGTTTTCAATTAGATCCTCATCAGGCTTTACTCTAATGTACAATAATATTTATATTCATATATGAAATTTCATACACACAGTCCCCTTTATAATCTTGAAGAGAACAAGAACAAAGATTTGAGCAGAATAGCATAAATTTATTTTATTTTGTTTGGTTCTCGTCAGCTGCTTACAACCTATGATATTTAAAAACCATAATTTCAAAATAGATTTAAAATACTTATATAAAAGAGTTTAGTTGGAAGTTACTTTGAGGACACATGAGTATAGTACATCACTTTCCTTAATTCCAGGCTAACTCCATATACCGAACGGTGATGAAATGATGTATTCAATACGCCAAACATCAAGTTGATAACTCAAGTTTAATGTAATTTTTCTGTGTTCTCTGAACTCAACCAACACAATGAAAAACAACCATAGGAACTATATTTCTCCATTATTCTGAAATAAGTGTATAAATCTACTTAATCTGTTCATGAAAGTAATGCCAATAAAAGTGTACTAAAATAGAAAAAGGATCAATTATAGACCAATGAATTTTTGACAAAAACATCAATTCAAAATTGCAGTCAACATAAGTAACATAAAAAAATAATACAAATGCTTTGTTTTATTTTTTCTAGGATGGTTCTTAAACTTATTTTAAGAACTTTTTTACAAGTATTACATTGTTTCAAGTTTTGTTTTTTAGCAGAAAAATGATCAATCTTGCGGCTTGCAATTAAGATTACATGGTAACGGTCATAAATTTGGACGTGGAATAAAACATTTAGGTAATAAATGTTTACTAATGAATTATTTGAACGATACATTATTCACTTCGGGAGACGATGCAAACATATTAGACGAAGCAAATAGATATGGTCTCTTAGACAATTTAAAAAGTGGAATAAATTTAAGACCTCCACTACTTAAACCAAAATGTGAACTTTTGCCGTACGAGCTACAGTATCCCGTAAGTTCATTTATTTCCTGGCTTTCATTATATTTAAGTTGTATTCCGACATATTTATAGATGGTAAATGGATTATTCTGTATCCTTCGATAAGGCTGCTCGCAAAAAGGCAAGTTACACATGGTCCACATCATTACGAGAAAGTTGCAAAGGATGATTTTATAATGTAGTAAAACACTGACTGAGCAAATATAATAAGTCAAGATCAAGTGTGTAAATGGTGGTTTCATAAATTAATATAGACATAAATGTTACTTACACTCTTAAATTTTTATAACATCGTTGAATATGTCTAAATACTCACGTTCGAATCACGTGCCATTTCGCGCAAACAATCTAACATCGATCTGTTTCTGTAATTTGGTACGACCAGTTTAATACGTTCTGCTACCTCCAAATACTTCCTTTTTATGTCTTATTGCTGGATTCTCACAAAGAAATGTTCGACTTTCAACTCATTTCATTTTTTAGAGCATCATATGTTCAGATAAGCGGTCCCAATTAGTTGATTAAGTCCTTTTTGGTATCACTCTATCACATTGTCCGTTTTAGGCATGTCTTCCACAACGGAAATGTGGACATTCCATAGTACAATTCTAAAAATTGGATCGCTATGGTCTCTAAGTTTTGTTATTCTCCCGGTCCAGATGTTTTCAAAATAATATGGTAATACTTTGATTTCTTTTGGATATACTTGTCGAAATGTTGATAACGCCGAATCTTCGTAATCAGTCATGACAGTTGGCGAATTTAAAGTCAGGTGTAGTTATTTAGATTTGTTGGAGGTGCGCACATACGAATTCATATTTTTGTCTTTCATCGGGACATAAACCGAAGGAACAATCGTTTTGAGTTTCATAGCATTGAATGGTGTATATCTGAGTAAACCAAGACCCTGAGGTTTTGAATATTCTATCGGTATATAAGTGAAGAAATCGCTCCAACGATTTCAGATTCGGAGTTGTAGAAACAATCGAAATTCGTTTTCCGCCCGATGTACTACCTTGTAAAATGAAATCCTCTCCTCTTACAATTGTCCTTAATTCAGACGATAGACTTAGTGGTTACTGCTGGTTATTTTAATCTAAATTCCTAAACTTAACCTTTGTAGTCAAAAGAAGTTTTTTTGAGACCTCTTTCTGTACCTTGTCCATCAACAGAGGCTATACAAAAGCGGGTTAAGGCAGAAATTTTATTCTTTACATTTTTGCCAGATACATTACGTATGCTTCCATAATCTTAATATTCGTCTCCTTATTCTTACGTGACGGTTAATAAATTTTCTTGTTATCATATTCTTTTGACAGTTCACTTATCAGTTATATACATAATCCAGAGACATCCACGAACCCTCTATACTGGTAATTATCATGTGCTAACTAGTGTCTATTTCTGATAGGTAATTTTCGCAGTCCTAGTGAGAAGCCATGACCAGTGAAGTTTAACGGTGTCGAGTAGATGTCAGTTACTCTTCAAAGATAAAGGAAAATGGTTGAGCAATACCACGAATTCACATATTTTTCTTCGGTCTATTTTCTTTTTATTAGACGTATATTTTCAGGCAAAACGCTTTTAACCAATACTTATGCTATTTTATTTGTATGTTTCATGTGAAAATTCAATGTGGTTTTTTTTCTTTTTTGCAGCTCACTATCTCACAAATACGCAATATTCCTGTAGTAGTTAACGAAAAGCAAAGACAACTCAGTGATTGGGATTTATTATTTCCTATACAAACAGAATTTATTCCACCTATTCCTCCTGACAGTTGGCTAACCTGTACTGATTTGCTACTCAGCTCATCAGATCTCAATGTTGTTTACACCCGATTATGTGCTCGAGTAGTTGATATTGCTCCACTGGATGTTAAAACGTTAAAAGATTGCTTACTATTAACATGTAGTAATTGTTCCTTTTCAATCAGGGGTTCCAGTATCTCTGATAATGATGAGTAAGTATAATATTTTATACCTTATTTCTTAAAAAACAGTTTCTTCAACACCCTGAACAATTTAGAGTTTTCAGAGTCCCATTTACCAAACGTCTATTATTAAGCTAGCTCGATGATGCAAGTTTTCTATTTTCGATTTTTCTGGTATCATTCGAGTGAGATAATTATATAACAACACAAGTTTATTCTTAGTGTAAAAAACGGAAACCCTATCACTTGTTAGTTACTTTGATTTGAATTTACTTATTCCAATATCATAAGTAACTACTAAAGTGGCATTTAGCAATATTTAACTAATTCTTGAAGATTTATTATTATTGTGTACAGATAATGTAAAATTCACATTTGAAGGTGAACACTTCAGACAAATAGATGGTGTAGCTATGTGTAGCCCTCTAGGACTATTGCTGGCTGACGTGTTCATGGGATACGTGGAAAATTTAGTTGAGGACTCACTTCGAAAGATGGGTCTGTATAAACGATATGTAGATGACATAATAATCATAGGGGATAAAAGTGAAGACATAAACCGCTTGTTAGAAGAATTTAATAGTAGTCAAAAGCTCATTATTCTTACATGTGAAGAAGAGAAAAAGAACAACCAACTCCCTTTTCTTGACATCCTGATTAGTAGGAGAGATGATGGTTCCATCAAACGTGCTATATATAGATAACCAACATGGACAGGACAATATCTTAATTTTCACAGAACATGGCAATTCTCCCATGCTAACTAATTAACGAAAACTGGGGTTTTATATTACTTGTCCTATAACTACTTATTCTTAAAAGTAAAAGACATGCGTAGGTGTCTCCGGAGCAGTGCTAGCATTTCGTAGGACGGTTGATTTATCATTACTGAAGTTAAGCATATGGTACTAGACGACGTTGGTAAATCACGTTGGAGGTTATGAACTTTCACCAGCTGAGATGGTTAGGACATGTTACATGTACATTGTCACCAACTACATCGATGGACAATGTTATCTGATGTAGGATTTGTTTTTAAGTTAGGGGGCTAAGAAGAAACGTGGCATCAGTCCATGAAGTAATTAATTTGATCTGAGTCATGCTGATAATTCTAGACTACGCGGTCGGGTCCGCGAGATTAACGCAACCAGCGGTTGGAGACTGGGTGGCATAGATCAGAATCGTTGACAGTGGCACAGATGCATTCACTCTTTGTCCTCCTCTCAATGTTGAATTCTAGTATCCCTTCATACATATCTTTCCACTACATCTTTTTCAGTCTTATTGTCATTGCTGCTACACTATTCCGATCTCTTATGCTATTATCCTGTTCATTCCATCTCGTCGTGCTGATATTATGGCAACGCATCCGTGCCAGGCTTTACGTTGACTTATCTAATCTGTCTTTTAAATACTTTCTAAAATTCATCCTAGGTCATTGTAACTGTATACCAACTAATTCACTTTGTCTTGTCTGGTCAGATGATTTGCTTCCATACACTTACAATCTACAGCAAAAATGTTTTGCACTCGTACGTAGATGTCCTATTTTGATTTTCAATGCCCAGATATTTATTATCTTTCCTTGTTTAAAAATCTTTTTCAGAGCACTTTGCGAGTGTGGTTCTTGGTAAGTTAAAGCGTCTGTATTCTTATTTTATACCGAAGCTTATCTATTCTTCCTTTATTCTTCCTTCATTTAGAAGATCCATCCGGTAACTTAATTTTAACTGTCACAGGTCATAATGCCATTGGCTTAATTAATAGTTTAGTTGATGATGATCTTAGACCATGTATCAATAATGATGCATGGTGGACGGGACTAATATTCGAGATGAAAGAATTACAGAATATTGGTATATCACCAGATAAAATAGTTCTTGAACAATGTCGTCGATTATTGGGTCAGTGGATTGATGTTGCAGTTAAAATAAGTTGGTCAAGGAAATCCATTCCAGGTAATACAAACACCGAAAATGACAATGATCTCCAGTTTCATATTAATGATTGGAATTTTGTGTAGGAACGTATGTTGAAATTACTTTACATAAAATCGGATTTAAACCACACATTTCTCTTATATTCCATGCTCACCTTGTGCATAGTTTTGACATTTTTTATCAATCCAGTTTCTACCATAAAACTTTTTAAGTTGCCTTGGTTATTTTGCTTACCGTTGTGGCTTGAGTTAAGGTTTTGTATTTTTAAATTCTGAACGACTAGGAGATTCTTTGTGCGAATAGGATCCATGTGAATCGAATAAACCAGACGACTGACACAACACTTCTCTGCTAAATCAAAGAGTAAATAGAAGTCTTATAGGGACAATGTATTGGTAAGGACCATCAGAGGAATTGTTTGAGCTCACATCAATCGTCACAGTGAATTTACGAATACAATAAGGTATTTTAAAATTAAGTGACTAATTTTATGTCGAATGGATCAGTAGAAACCAGATTTCACTTCGCATCAAGTTAGTCTTGAGATAATATTCGAAAGAAATTAGTGTTTGAAGATTCAGCATGTCCAACACTAAGTTAGTAAAATGAAGCACACACTTTAGATGCTAAAATACACCCTACTATTGAGTTCTGAATGGAGCTTTAACCCAAGTGCTTTCATCCGTTTTCGCCTAATTGAAGTTTTAACATGTAGAGCACCAATTTACTTGAAACGGCGTGAGTACTTATAGTAAGTACATACTAATTTGTGTTTCTAGATCATTGTCGTATTTAGTCTTTTATTAGTCGCAAAACGTTCGTGACTATAACACTAAAACAGGCCCCCAAATGCCCTGGTGTGGCCGAGAATGGGGTGGGTACATCTTTCCTCTCGAAATGCTTTCACACGGCCACGCGTATACAGCCTCTGCCAGGGAAGTCCTACTCACTGCCTTCTCGCGGCGGGGGTGTTGTTTACAAAATTGAGAGGACGAAAAGCGAATGTCCGGTGCTTTAACCGGATCCCAAACCAATGGTGCACATGGGCTCCAGGATTAAATAGCGTATGAACCAATCGTTGGTCACCGGCTAGCATCTCCTCATGATGCTCCATCGCCTTGTGGGTTAGACCTTTAGGTTCAAGGCTCGGGGCGTGGCCCCCTAAGAAAACCACCTGCTTCGGTCTGGGCACCCAGGCAGTATCATAGCCCACACACAAATATATTGGTAATGAAAATGTGTGGCGCATACATATTTGGTGCCCCCCCCCAATGTTTATGTGATTAAATAAATAAACACTAAGACAGAATAGTGTAAAGTTGTTCGGACATGTGCATTTACTGAAAGCTGACCTGAACCTCTATCCTATGCACATGCAAGTTGTGTTATGGTGAATATTTGAAAATCCATTGTTGTGATTGAATAATAACGTCTTAACTTTGTTTACCAAACATTTAAATTTGATTTTCTTAAGTGTATCGTGATCATGAAGAGTAGTTGCGACTAGATGAGATCTGTTGTTCGATATTACAGGCAAAGGAACAAAACTCAGTGGCACAGCGACTGTACCATAATTCTACGGTTTTGTGAGTTTTTTTTTGTCGTAAAAGTGAAAACTGTTATTTGAACTTAGGAGTTAGTCTTAGCTTGGTTCCCACCAAGATCCAGGAAGCATTCTTTACTTACAACTGTAACCGACCGTGGAAAAGCATAGGCAGCCCACCAGCATTCTCCATCAAACTGTCCTGGGCAATCCTTTCTGTGCTTGCTTGTAATTCTCGGCACAGTGTTCTTCGGCCTTGCACTGTTCTGTTTCTCTTCAGCACTTATCTTTGTGATGTAGTTTGGTGATTTCAGCAATGCATTTCCTGTCCACGTCCAACATCTTTTTCTAATTTCCTCTTCAACTGAAAGCTGGTTTGCTTTCATTTATTTGAACACATAAATATTGGTACAAGAGAGCGCCAATATATATGCGCCACACAAAACAACGGGAATTCGAAGAGAAGTAGAAAGAAAAAAAAACTAAGGAACGCAAAAGAAAAGGAGAGTAATGACGAAGAGGTACAATCAGAAGAAATCTTTCAGTTAAGGAAGACAACCACTTTTTATGAAGAAAGTAAAAGGTTACAGCAGGATCGCCACTGGCTTCTATTCTGAGCCATATCTGATAACGTCTCTAGCCACTGTGTAGCACCATCTCTCGGACCCCAACCAGGGAGTCGTGAAGGACCGACACAAGCCAGTCCTTTGCAGCTTTCTTTCATGCCACGACACCATGTCATGCACTGACCACCTCTCCGCTTCTTCCAACCAGTCCCAGAGTCGGCAAATAATGCACGACGTGGAATTCTCTGGGACGACATTCGGAGAACATGTCCAAGCCACCGAAGTCGGTGTTTCAAGATGGTGACACCAATTGAGTTATCATCTCTGTGCCCGAACACACGATGCCGAACCTCTGCATTACTCACATGGTGTTGCCACTGAATGTCAGCAATCCTTCGGAGACAGCGATGATCGAACACAGAGAGTCGTCTAACGTCCTCAACTCGGAGAGGCCAGGTTTCACAAGCATAGAGCACAGTAAGACAATATCGTCCGCATACTCAAGGTCGAGAAGTCTTTCTCCAGGCAACAGATCCACACCACCATTACTTACATTCATCAGAGCTGTTTCCAGAATGTCATCGATGGCAAAGTTGAAGAGGAATGGTGAGATTGGGCAACCCTGCCTAACCCCACTGCTCGAATGAAACAATGGAGAGAGGTGGTTGTATGCCCTCACTCTGCCTGAGGTGTTTTTATACAGGGCTTTTAGGATGTTAATAAACTTCTCAGGCACACCCTTCTTCAATAGACAATCCCAGAGAACAGTCCTATCCAACGAATCGAAGGCAGCCCTGATGTCAAGAAACACTACGATTGTTGGCCTCCCAAAGTGAGCCCTTGCTGACGGTATCCGGTCAACAGACATTCAGTTTCTTACGTGGACAGTTCTTTAGAAATAGTTGTACTATTTTGATGATGGTTGTAGGTCTCCAATTTTCAGCTTCGTACCATACAACTGTCTCGACGTCCGCATTGAAGATTTCGACATTGATAATAGTTGACAGTTGCTTCGAGTTGCATATTTTGTTCAACTGTAGGAATACCGCTATTGCTTTGCCAATTCTCACCCTTACATCACTGCATCAGATCCTTCTTGTTCGTCGACGGTACTGCTGTTCAGGTACGTGAAAGTCGCCACACCTTCCAGAGTTTCGCCACCAAGTTTGAAAGGGTTTGCGTTCTCCGTGTTGTATATGAGGGCCTTGTTATTTCCCTTTACTGCTGCTAAACTGGTTATCTCGACCCTTAATTGTTCGTGTGTATGGAATAGAAGTGCCAGATGGTCTAAGAAGCTCAAATCGTCTAGTTGTCGATTGTATTCCGTGCTTCCCCTCAGATGTCAGTCTTCATAATCCAGTCAACCACTAAAAGAGTGACAGTAAGTAGTTTTATCTGACTACGCTACTCAATTTGAATGAGCCTGTCAGCTGTCCTCTATGCACGGCTCTGCAGCGTGGTCCGTGGCATGAATCCTGTATGATGTTGACGACCTTCTATTATCAGTGTCCTAGAAGGTACTCCTATCCTCGCCGTCAGACGCCTCCTCAGTCGAGGGAGTTGAATTGTAGTGACGAGTTCCATTCCGACGGGGTATCTTCAACCGTTCACATGCACGTCCATATTACAAGGTTTTCTGTTCCATATGACAACTCTTGACATCTAGACTATGGAGTCTTGCTACCAATTATGTACATATCTAAGCTCAGCATCGCGATCGTCTTTCACTGCATGCGGTAGATATCGCATCCGACATGTCTAGACCACTGGTCACGGGTTCTCACTATTTTACATTAGTATGTTTTCCCGGGTATTTAATTCCCATCAAAATATCCACTGTACTTTTACTACTCTTAGATTTTTGTGGCAAAACATGTTCAAAGACCCAGTCCTACTACAACTACAAGCGTACCAGAAACTGTAGTAGGAGGCGGATATTATATCCTTTGTAAAAATATGATTAATTACAGATAATATTGACGATGATAATATTAGTAAGATTTCAAAGCACATATTAAATTACTATCTTTTATAAACTCAAGGGATTGGGAACCATAACTCTTTTATTCTAATCTAGCAAAAAAATAACTGAGAACGATCACATTTATTTACCAGGTTTACTTAAAAGGCATAAAACTTCTAAGTATGTTAACAGGCCTTCAAAATTATTCATCACAGAGAATATATGGTAAGAGATACAGAAAATAGTTGAGCATTGATCTGACAATTCCCATTACATGCAACGTATGGCGCGTACTAGCTATACGAGTACAATTATGATAAATTTCTGAAACACAAGAAACAATGTGGTTGGCAAACGCTTAGAGATCGGGAAAAGGCAGTTGAGGTTGCACGTGAGAAACAAGAACACAAGGTTAAAGTTCATCTTCAGAATAACTCAAGCAGTCCAACAATAATGCAGTACCAGATGGAAGGCAGTATATAGTTTTGGGGGATAGAAAATTCTATCGTGTGATTTACGTGACATTTCTCAGGACACATCTGGAAATAAAATCAAGAAAAATTAAATGTTTTGAAAATATTACATTTTAAATTATCTGCGATTTGGGTCCCTAATTATGATAACGGTTGCACTTTACGACAGAAAGAGTGCACAGTCTCGGGAAAATTTTGGCGTAAAAAGGGGTCATAAAGGAATAAAACATTTTGTTTGGATGAATGTTTAGTCAAATTAAATTTAACTCCGTTTTTACCGATGAAGAATCCAGCAACGACCTACACCAAGATTATGAGTATTATCTTTATATGAAGGTAAACTTGACGATCCCGTTGGATATCTTTGTAAAACGATTGGTTCCAACAATTTTCCGTAAATCAATTTACTAACCATATCTTTTTTATGCATGCTCCAAATTCTTACCAAAAACGAGTAGAATTTGTGAAAGTCTATAAATAACCACTTTGATGACTGAATTTCAAAACTGCTAATGACACTATGAACACCTTTGTTTGTAAAAGATAATTGAATGGATAGAAAATATGATTTAGAAGTTTCGGTGGTGTTTAAGTCGATGATCAATAGAAACCAAACAAAAGTGTGGGCTTCTGAGTGAAGATAAATATTTAGACGTTATCACTAATGAATCTAACGAAGGACATGGTTATAGTTTGCTTTAGTGAAATTTCAAACCTATTTATTCATGAAATCAGCAAACAAATTTTCTGCGTGATTCTTTGCTTGGATTATTTCTTAAATAGACTATAACATCAAAGCATTTAAAAAGCCAAATTCGATAAACAATTACTTTGCCTAATAAACTGAACCTCGACATAGAGTTCAGGACAATATATGGGAAAATATCATTTGACTTAGAATGGGAAATACGGCAATGTTCAAACGAGAACTAGTTCATAGCCAACTAAAAAGAACGCAATCATCCTGAACAAATACGATGGAAAACTTACAACTCATTGGGGAGTTCTGAAATCGACTGTAGAGTTGATCGTGATTGAACTTCAGAAATGCTTCATATTGCTCTAAAATGTAAATGAAGATCCAATTGACAGAGGTTTAAAAAAATTACGTCTTGTTTCAACCATGTTGAACCAGTTACTTTGAGAATCTTACTTTTGCCTCTTTAAGGATTTTGGTTCTCTTTTTACCTACGTCTGGTTGTTGTTGTATGTACCGCGAACGAAATATATACTTTTGTGGAGAACTGCCTAGGCAAAATACGTCTTCAAGTAATGTAGTTTAATAGTTGACTGGCAGAATAGTGTTGACATAAAGTATCAAAATTTCATTTCAGTAGAACAGACTGGGCTGAACTAATATCACTGTTATTGTAGCACAAATCGATTGTATAAGGCAAACCGGATCCGTATGAATGTATTTTTCGGTCTAGTTAGTCAAATTAGTCTCCATGTGAAATTGTTGTTCATGTTGAATCCCGAAATATGACCTTCAGTTTTAAAAATAACGTTCTTATTTGAAATGAATTCCGTCTACCAACTTAACTTTTCACGTTAATTAATTCAGACTGATTCTCGTCCACTAACTTTTAGTGAATTCCTGTTTGTATCAGTCTATTCAATATAAATTTAGCTATTTGATTTTAAAACACCTTATTGTATTCATAAATTAACTATGATGATCGATCAGTCTGACAAAGTTTGTAATAAATAATCGGTATATAAGCCGACTAGCTTACGTGTTAATAAATCAAGCAGCCTCGCTTGTCATATTAAGACTAGAGTTGTGAATAACTGGTTTGTTGTACAAATGTATTGAAAGTGTAAGTCACTACACTTTTCAGACGAATGATAATGTTGCATTTAAGACTAGTAATGATACGACGATAACCCACACGATAGTCTGAGACTTGACAGTCTGTTGCAACTACGCTAATATTTGAAATTTTTTAAACAGAATACTGTTCTTTAAAAGTTATACATTCTCAACAGAATATAAACAGATTTGAACAAGCTGATAGTCTGTGGTTACAAGCAATCGAAAGTATTACATTATCTGGTGTAGAAAGTAATTGCCTACATACGTAATTCTTAACTATTCCCTAGACTGTCGAGTACAGTTTTAGCTTAGCCAAGTCAGAACAAGTAGGCTATTTGGCTTGATAAACTTTATCTGTTTCTAAACGTAAAAGTAACAATTTGATTCGTACAATAACTAAAGAAATTATAATCATTGAGTGGGACACACGAACATACCGACCAGTATTGCGTGTCTTAATGAAATGAATAAAAATGAGTCACAGTAATATAATGGGATAATGTCCTTCAATTGGCAGGTCATATGCAATAGAGATAGTCCACAGACACATTAGACCAGATTGACGTGTTGGGTGCTTGAAGGGCGATCTGATTAGTTAGTTATGGACATAAATAACATGTGGCACATTAACAAATAACGTTCCTGAATTAACTACGACTGTAACAAGAAATCTAATACTGAAGGTACCATATGATTGAACTGATGGTTACACAGTGAGAAGGGCTTGGGCCCAACTGTTATGGAGTAGATGACCTACAATACAGATTTCCCATGACATTTAATCCTGTTCATTTTTTTGTCAATAATTCGTATATAAGCAAACTTTCATTTAAAAAACAACTTTTTCTTCTGACTAATGACCATTAACATCAGTTCATTGGAAGATCTGAATCGATAATACAGTCTTATGAGCACCAATCACCCAGTTACATCTTACCACTACGTTCATCCATTGATGAGCATTCTGTTTACTAGACCGTATACGTTCTTTATTGCAAATAATGAAATTCTACTTTGCGACAGATGAGTTTAAAATGTTGCTGCAGTTAACTAGACACTCAGTGTTAATGTTTGGTACTGAATTTCCTGGATTATGAAATGATATTTAGATTCCTACATACACAGTCCCTTTGTAGGAAAAACATTTAAAACCAACTATTACTTTCCCTAGATTAAGCCTGCTCGGACAGAAAATTTGGAAGAGTTTATATTCAAGACTAGTATACACTAACCATCAAATTGTGAACTAACCTGCTAATTTACAAGATAATATACTGTCATACTCTTCTCGTAACTCTGCTTCTCGTTCTTTGATTAAGCGCTCACAAAGAGCCGTAACCTGGGGTAAGGTGAAGATCGGCATTGAATCGATGGTATGTGTAGGTTTCAAAGAAGATTGTGAGGAGACAACTGAGACATTCTCAAGTGTTTGGAATATCGGTTCACTGGTACGCAAAGGTGACTGATCACTATCCGAGTCTTGACTATCTGAAGTAGGTGACCGCAATGCCATGGATCGAAAACTACCACTGCACGAAGCCACTAATGCAAGAAAATATATGAAATAAGAAACAACTTTGTTTATAAGATACAAAACTAGTTATATCTTGGCATGCCACGTACAAGTCCTATTTTATTGTTTTAGAAGTGAAAAGGATTATTCAACTTAATCAGGTAATAACTGCGACATCCAAAACCTTCAAACATAAAATGACTATTCTCAAAATATTACAAAGGTAACAAATACAAATGTCACAAATTTTTAAGCAGTTTTACAATATCGGATAGAGTATAACACAGTAAAGCGAAACTTTTTGGAATGATCTTGAATACATTTATTTTCGTTGTAACCATATCTACAAACCAACTTCTTAAGACATGTCCTAAATAATTAGTAGGATCTATAACTCCTTTATCGAAATGACTGCCGTACAAACGTGAAGCAAATCATCAACCAATTGTCCATAACATTTAGCTTATTAGTTATGTGAGTATACTTTTTAAAGTAAATGGTTAGCAATCGTTCGTAAAAGAATGTTTACTGCTGAGCAAAAATCATGAGACAAATGAATGCTTCAAGATTTCCATAGAAGTATCTTGAATCGGTTGGGTAAATCTCATATTACGATCATGATATTTACTAAATTTGGAACCGGTTTTAATAAGCAACAAACAAGCCATTGACTAATTTGTAGGTTATAAGAGAAAATTTAGAAACTGAAACTAAGTAAATAGGCCAAGTCCTAAACTTATACTAACCGTGAAACATTTATGTTTCCATGGGGTTTTGTTCTGAGCTGGTCGACCAGATCATCCAGCTCAGAGAATACAACTCCATCAAAATCATCCACCTGAGCTACGAATCACAATCTCAAAAACATTTATTTAAACATCAACATTGGTATAAGGCGGCACCAAATACATATGCGCTACACAAATCACTCGATTTCTGTGAGGGCTGGGATACCACCTGGACACCCAAAGCTAAGCAGGTATTTTTCTTAGGGGGCCGCACCCCGAGCCTTGAACCTGATCCACAAAACAGTAGAGCGGCGTTGGGAGACGCAGTCCCATAGTAACCGGTGACCAATAATTGGTTTATACGTCATTTATTCCTTCAGGATACTGGAGCCCATGTGCAAAATTGGTTTGTAACCAAGGTTTTTCAACTCCCCAAGGTGGATCTTCCCTAATCAACAACCCCGTTAAGTGGTTGGGCATTCGCTTTCCATCCTCTCAACTTTGTAAACACTGTGAAACAGCTAGTTACATCTCATTAGAGTAAAATACTAACTGGATTATGAACAATCTGTAGTAATACATAGAACGACTAAACCTAGTATTCGTAATTATTTGTATTAGAACAAAAAGACCTCGCTGTCAGTATTTAGATGGCTACAATTTTATACACATGGACTGAACTGATTCCATAGATAAGGGTAACAACTCACCCACGTTTTCATCCTTTGCATGACCGGCGAATGTCGCAGTTATTGCCGGGGTGGGACCTCCAAGAAATCGTGGTATCAAACGACGTCGTTGTAGACGTTTGATTTCCTCCTTGATGCGCCGTTTCAATTGAGCTACAGAATCGAACATCAGAGACAGAAATTAGTGCAAGAGTTAACACGCACAAGTATTTGCTGATAGACCAGTTACAACTAGTCTGAGTTTTCTGGAAGACAACTAGGGAGAAATTAAACAGTGTATCCGACATGCGATCCTGACAAATACCATTTGAAGCTGGTGATATTGACGAGTCCTCAGTATGTCTTTATTTGAGCACTGGTGTTCGAGTAAATCTTTAGGTTTATGGACTTGACTAGAACACCCTTCAGTGATGAAAACTGCCGAAGATCCCCTCGACTGATGGAGTTCGACGATGCTATATGGTCAAGAAAAACTACTGAACTTTTCGAAGGGTAAAGCTATAATTAACACACCCATGACCAGAACTATAGTTTGTGAACACAAAAGGCTTGAAAACCCTAATCAAATAAATACATATAATATGTCTTTTTTAAGAACTGTGGTAATTGACATCTAGCACTTAGTCATAAGCCAGGATATCACTCAACTCATGAAACAGAAGTCAATTCTCCTAAGTTAACCTACTAAGTAGTGCTACCCTTCTATTGTTCTCTAATTGGGCAGGTAATGGCAAGCGAAACCTGAACCAGTTCTTGACACACACTAAACCGTGGACCCTAGTCAAAAGAACAAGGACCCCTGTCACTAGATGATGAAGGAAACAAAAAGCCCTATGATAACAAAAGCTGGGTTATTAAGTGAGGAGTTTTTCACAGAGCTTACCATGATGAGACCGTACCTAGTGTCCTGACCTTTATTTGCACATTGACTGAAATAATAAGCTACCCGGTGCTGACACTTGAGAAGTGGTGTGAGTACACAAAGTACATACTACACAAAAACTAGTCGACTTCACCGACCCAGATATTTTGTGCATTAGTTTGGTTCATGAATAATACCACACAGAAAGATACTCAACAGCAGAAATAAAACACCGGACACTGACCAATTCGATTTATATGCTTAATGATGTGTGATTAGGAAGCACTGGCTTAATTTACTTATCCACACGATGTTTGGATATCGTTTAAGATGTGACTCCCAAACACTTGACAGGCAAACAATAAATTTGGAATTTAGCGAACGTACTTTGGGTTGATAACTCCTTCGGGATGAATGGGGATTCTGACGCTGCTGCTTCCGTGTTGCAGTTCCGAGTTAAAGCTTGGTATCGCCGTCTTTTGGAACAAGTCGCTTCCATGATGTCAAAGTTATGGGTTCGTTTAAGCGTAGCACATGCCATATTTCCAAACAATAACAAGTTAATTAGAGTTCACTAATGAAACACTCAACAAACTATGGCTAATATGTACGCCGGATGTCACCCGTCCACAAGATGGTTTGGCGCGAACTGATTGTATTCAATCTACAGGTTTACTGAAACAAAGATATGATCTTCAGCAGACAGAGTAGAAGCCCAAACTATCTGTACCAATAGCTCCAGATTGTGGAAATCAGTCAGGTTGCGTGCGCGTTTTGAGAAATCAGTGAACATAGATCAAACAGGAAGAACCTCATGCGTTCCAAATTGAAAGCATAAACTGCTTATACATGAACGCCGCGAGTCTACCAAACAAAATGGATGAACTACGTGAACTTAGCAATACTAATAAAGCTCATCTGATAGGAATAACTGAAACTTGGATATCTTCTCAGTTCTCGAACCAGGAGTTAGCAGTACCTGGGATGTCTTTGTTTCGCAGAGACAGAAAGTCAGGAATTGGGGGCGGAGTAGCTGTTTACATACGTTCTTGCTTGGAGATGCATCAAGTTCACAACCTCGAGTTTAACAATCTTGAGAGATCCATATGGTGCTCTGTAAGATTGTCTACTACTTCGAGGTGTCTAGTCGGAGTCATATATAGGAAGCCCACCGCCGACATCGAGTACGATAGTCGTATGCTGGAAGAACTATCCCGCTCTACCCGTCTCGGTTTCACTCATATCCTGATTGTAGGGGACTTCAATCTCCCTAGAGTCAACTTCACGGAACATATGTATATTGGAGGTGAAAACTCAAATGAAGCACGGTTCTTCAACCTCATTGAGGACTTGCGGTTATACGAAAATGTAAAGTCGGCAACTCGTTGGAGAAACAGTCAGACACCATCGCGCTTAGACTGTGTATTTACAAACGAACGATTCCTAGCTGACAATTTCTCAATCCTGGCTCCCCTGGGAAAAAGCGATCACGCCGTCATAGCTTTCAGTTTTGTCAGCAAAACTGAGCTAAGATATCCCACCAACAACTTGCGCTGGAATTTCAAACTGCTGAATTTGTCAGCTCCACAGGACTATCTGCAACAGGTGGATTGGGATGTTCACCCTCAACTCGATGTGGATACTCACTGGGACTTCTTACTGCACACTCATATGTGCTACAAATCATTCAGTTCCTCAAACGGTTCCCCATAGCTATCAGCAACCCACAATCATCAGGAACCGCACTCTTCGCCTGCTAAGCCGCGAAAGGCACTGTTGGGCAGAGTACATATGAACTGAAAACAACGGAGCGTACAGGCAATATAAGTATATCAGGAACATATGCACGAAGGCTATAAGAGAAGATAGGCTTCAGTACCAGACAAAGCTTATAGACAAATTTGCCTCTAATCCTAAAGCTTATACCGTTGTGCAGCCTCTAATCGTCAAGCCAAAACTGGAGTTTCCCAACTGCTAGGTCTTAACGGCCCGACAAACAACGATGGCGACGCCGCTTACCTTCTGGCTTAACATTACTCCCAGACATTTCAACCGACCGACAGTAACTTTACTGATGACAGTTTCGTTTGCAACTCCACAGGACTTTCCGCTGTGAACCTAAGCACCGACTTGGTGTTCCGGAAACTGCAGCACTTACGATTAGACACTTCTCCTGGCCCGGACATAGTCCATTCTGCCATACTGAGGGAAGCAGCTTCAATCTTGACAACGCCGCTTAGCGTGATGTTTTCACACTCGCTAAGCCGAGGCAAATTACCGGAAAATTGGAAGTTGGCTCACATCACACCAATTTTCAAAGGAGGTCGACGCAGCGAACCTTCAAGTTACCGACCTGTGGCTCTTCTCTATATACCCTCAAAAATCATGGAGTCCCTGATATGCGATGATATACATGACTATTTACTGTCCTTAAATTTCTTCTCACCCCAACAGTATGGTTTCAGGAAGGGTCACTCCTGTACAGCCAACCTGCTGACTGCGGTGGACAGATGGACAAGCATCCTTGATCACAAAGGGAAGGTTAATATCATTTACCTTGATTTCTCAAAAGTTTATGATAGGGTCAACCATACATGTCTTATCAATAAGCTCAAAAGATTGGGTGTCAGACCACCTCTAACTGATTGGTTCACTTCATTTTAGGGTCAGGGTTAACTTAACTTTATCTCAGGCTATGGAATGTCCTAGTGGGGTCTCCCAGGGCCCAGTACTAGGACCTCTTCTCTTCTTGATCTACACAAATGATCTTTCTCAACATGTTACGTCAGACTTATTACTTTTTGCCGACGACGTGAAACTTTGGAGAGAGATACGCAACCAAGACGATATACAGGCACTTCAGGGGGATCTGACTCGAATTCAAAGTTGGGCAGACGATGACGGACTTACCTTTGACACTTCGAAGTGTAAAGTAGTCCATCTGCGACATGTCGCAGACTACAGTGATAACCTAAGGAACTCCTCTCTAGTAGTATCTCGAGTCGAAAAAGACTTAGTAGTCTTGGTACCCTACGATTTACAGTCTTCCCTAACTGTAACAAAAATGTTTTTCGAGCAAAACTTACACTGGTAACATTGAAGAGCATTTTTGGCCAGTTTGACAGAAGAACTTTCCACAAAATCTTCGATAGTTTTATCCGTCATCGTTTAGAGTACGGAAACATAGTATTTCCTCCCTCACTCCAAAAGGATAAGGACACTCTGGAGCGTATCCAACGGCGAGCCACGAAATCACTTCTGGGACTCAAATTCAAACCTTATGAAGAGCGCCTCCAATCACTTAGCCTTTACCCATTAGAGTATAGACGTCTTAGAGGTGACCTCCTGATGGCTTATAGTATCCTTAACACTTCTGGACATCCTCTCAAACACCTACTTAAGCTTAGTTCCAACACTAACCTAAGGGGTAACACCCAAAAACTGGAGACACAACATAGCAGAACGGACTGTAGACACAACTTCTACTCCTTAAGAGTTGTCAAATGCTGGAATTCGCTACCGGCTGAGCTAGTCCAAGCGACTTCCCAGGAGTCCTTTAAGGGGAAACTTGATCTATTCCTAAGGACTAAGGATACCTTCTTATTATGATTTACCAATTTCTTTTTTCCTCTATTATCGTTAATATACCTAGGTTCTTGCCTGGAGGTATTGGTGATCCACTGCTACCAGACACGGAAGCCCGTTAAGCGAAAGCTTCGTCTATTCCATCCACAATCATCTGAACAACTTAAATCCTTCAGCACAAGCTTCTTCAATACACTGATCAACACACTCTCCTGTGTCAGTCAAATGCTAAACCATTCAGATCCCCTCAGTTTAAAGTCCAGTACCTGATAAACTTTCGCAAAATAATGTTTTTTGAAGCGACGTCAAAGATTGCTGGTCTTACGATAGGTCTTCACGCAATAGATATACGCTGATAAGCAGATATGATAGAATAATTTATCATTCCAGATTGCTGAAGTCTACGATAATCAACAGCAAACCTTTGTATAACTTCGTTAAGAAATAGGTACAAAACAGTAAATATTGGGTTGGGATTACCTCATGGTACACAGTTCTCACAATGATATTTTTATGCCTCTGATTGGGGAATTCCAACCCAATTACCGCCAATCCGTTATATCTCTGTTCACTGACAAATCTATCCTCTTCAGCCGTAATATTAGTATCATAGCTTTTGAAACTCGCATAATCAAAGAGAATCCGGGATGCTCGAAAGCATACCAACCTCTTGCCTTAGGTTGAATTTGACTCACAATCTCACATGGATGTTCAGACATACCGTGCCTCTGAACAATTTTCACGTGGATTTTCACTTTGCGCATGTTACGAATGAAACTAAGCATTTTGAAACTACTATATATATTTCCTGATCAGTTGCTGCTGCTTCACTTTTGATTGACTTTCTAGTTTATCTGTACCCAGTGGATTCTTATTGTTTTCTTGGTAATTGCGGCGCGCAATAGTCTCACTTGATTTGGTACCGAACCAACGTCACGTTGATCCTAATGAGAGAGTTGTATGGTAGTAATGGTTCCTAGCCACATAATCTTTGGACTTGGACATATAATTACAAATAAGATTTATATTCAACATGTAGCACCTAGGGAAAATCGACAATGGTAGACGCGGTAACAGAGAATCGAAGTGACTTGGCTCAATAATTGGGTTAATTCTGTTCCTATTGCTTATGAGCGACCCAAAATGGTTGTTTTCCTATGTTAAATGGAGAACAAAGAGTAGTGATTGTACCCCCTTCGTGTTACACAAAAATTCAGATTTACTAGCTGGATCAGATCTGGCAAAAGCCGAGACTTTTTCAAACTATTTTAGCAAAGTCGACTATAGATGGATTATTACAAATACCTGTCCTAATCACACCGTTGAGATGCCAGCCATAGGACCCGTAAGTATGACTGAGAAAACTGTCCTCCGATTGATCACTAACTTCAAACCTTGTAAGATACCGGACCCAAATGGGTTAAATCCACGACTGCTGTCATCTCTCGCGAAAATGATTTCAATACCACTCGCGACGATCTTCAACATGTCTCTTTCCCGCACTCAAGTCCTCAGAGATTGGAGAGATGCTATAGTCAGTCCTGTATTTAAAATGGTCAGAGACAGATCGTATCTAACTACCAACCTGTCAGTCTAACCAGCATAGTCGTCAAGTTACTTGGAAAGATAATTCGGGTTAAGTTACTAGATCACATAGAATCGTACAATCTGGTAACTCCCGGGCAACACGGGTTTCGAGACAAGCATCCATGCTTGACCATATATTGCAAGAGAGAATCGGACAGCAGCTTTAGATAACTGTCTGCCCGTCAATGTGATATTTATAGACTTTAACAAAGCGGTGAACAAGGTTTCAAACTTTGGGCTTGTGTAGAAGCTGTCGAGCTAGTAGAGTACTGTATCCAAGCAACTGACCCATGCCTAATTAACGATACCAACTCACTCGAGCCTGTTAAGTGTATGGGAACAAAATGAGTGAAGGGTCATTCCCAACTCCCTTACGACGGGCGCTTAAAACGCCTAAACCTTTCCCCTTATCTTATCGTAGAACTCGAGGTGACCTTATTTTGGCATTTTGTAATTTTAATCACGATTTGGGCGTTGATATATCTCATCTTTTTACTCTCTACAGCATTAATAATCTCCAAGGCCATATCAAGAAGGTTCACAAACCGCGACCTAATAAACCTCATCAAGTGGTTAATGACCAGAACGCCCCACCTAAACAAGTG